ATCGTTAGAGAGTGATCTCAGATGTTCTGTACGGTGCTGATGGCACTGATGTACTGCATCAAAGATTGCAAATGGCATTGATTACCTGTTCCTCACTTCTCATTTTCTTATGTATGATAATCATCCTGAGGCAAACTAGGAAAGGATTCCTGACCCATTTTTCCTATTCTGTAGCACAGTATTGGTGTCAGGGTGGTCATTAGGGGATTGGTAGGCCTTAATGACCCTGAGTATCAGTGTCATGGAGAGGGGGGGTAAATGTTTGTCCATTTGTAAATCAAAAGCAGGCCTCTACTACTTTAACATGTCAAGGTAAATTGGCAGAATTGAGTGCATCATGAGAATGAATATCTGGTCATGCTTTTTCATTTGTTAGGTCTCTAGAATGAGTTGGACATGGCCTGTATGAACAAGAGAAGGATTGAGCTTGCTTAGATTTGATAGATGGAGAACTATTTGAGATTGTGATATACAGTGCCATTAGAGGGAAATCAGTTCATATAGTTAAAGTAAATATCCAACTTCATGCTTAGATCCAAGAAGGCACTCTGAAGCATGGTGGGTGATTAGTACAGACCTCTGTTTTCATAGTAATTTTCATAGTATTGAATGTTAGCTATATCACATGACATGGACGTGAAATAGTCTTTGGATAAAATTTGGACAGCAAACATTTTAGGAGGAAGAACTAGAATTCATTCCTTTTTTTTTCCTAGTGGGTACTGTAATAAAAAAAGAGTTCTCTCTCTTTCCTAGCTTCCTTTTTTCAAGTATTCTTATGTCTGCAAAGTTCAATGGCCATTAAAAAGAGGTTGAGCATATTGACCACTCTTGTTTAGCTTGCTGGATAATATGTTCTTTTGTGGGGGAGAGATGTCTTCAAACAGAAAATTCCTCTGGACTCTTTTACACTTTAGGTTATTTCTAAGAGTTTCCATCATCTGTGGATGAACTATCAGATATACTTAGGTAGCTTCTCTCCTGGACCAGTAAGGTTTATAAAGGATGCTCAATAAAGGATGCTCATTCTGCTCTGAAACAGCAGTGTTTTCTTTAGAAGCTGAAATCTGATCTGGAAGCATCACAGCTTGGCTATGTTACTGCATGACAAGAACTGAAGATATGGTACAGGCACACCAAGTACTGCTGCTTTGATCCTGAAGGACTGATATGATCTGTTTTTCTTCCATTTAACTATATCTCAGTTTCCCATTTTCCAAATAATGAATAGCTGACTGTACTCTACATGGGAAATGGGGTGGAGAATCTACATCACCTTATTCTGGGGCCCTTTTTAGTTTTCCTACCATCTTGACTTACCAATGCCCTTGGTGCAAGGGCTGCTTGCTGTGCAGGGGAGCTGTAGGCACTTAGTGTCTTTGAGAACTTCACTGCTTTGCAAAATGTTGAAGTTGGCTACTGACCCCAAAAGCTTTTGGTGTGGGAAAGTGTTGAGAGAGAAAAAGAGAACAGATGGAAACTGATAGACATCCCACTGCTGTCTCATTTCCTTGGGAAGCCAGGCTAAAAATAAGTTGAAAACTTGAGGACTGATATTTTGTTGTGAGTGCCCAAACCTGCCTTGGCAGTAATTCTCACTCATCCAAGAAACCTTTAGGTGAACTCAAAGACCTACTCTTCTGTGAACTGGAACTAAAAGGATAATCTACTGTTTCAACCAAAGGTGGATGTCTTTGGAATGCATGTATTCACTGTGTAGAATACAGAGATACATTTGAGCCAAATGGAAAAGGCGTTGGTGTGTGTCAGAGCATGTGGGGTGCATAGCAAGAGTTAGTGAATGATTTCTAGTGAAGTGTTTTGCCTTTTGCTAACATTATATGCAATATGATAACCTTCTTGGTGGTCTGTTAGCTTCAGTCTTCCCTGTTTTGACTGTCCACTGTGGACCAGCTCACTGAGCTCAAACTGCTGTGTTTAGAAGGAAGGTATTGCTCAGAAATGGGGCTTGTGGGGGAAGCAAATCAGTTTGTCTAGTCTAGAAAGCATACACTCAATTAGTGTTTGAGTACTGGTAATCTGAATGGCATGATATGATCTTCTGAAAGTATCTGGACATAATGATGACACCTGCCCTCTTTTAGTTTAACTTTATTCCTTTTTTTTCATTCTTAACTTTCTTGATGTGAGTGAAACAAGAGCACCCATACCTTGTGCTCCTAGACATATGTGTGTGGAACTGCCACGGAGGAAGGAGCTGTAGTGTATTTTACCATGCTTCCTGCCAAGGAAATTGTCCAGGCATTTCCCAGACTATCAAATGTGTGTGCAAAAAGCTTGAAAATGCCTCCTCTGCAATTCATGACTACTCACATCACATTATGATTTATTTGGCTTGAGAATTGTTTCCGTTATATTACTGTAAATAACTCAACCCTGAATTGTGCAACTAAAAATGCTTTGATGCCATTATGTTTTAACTGGCTTTAGAAAATCAGCAAGGTTGAACTGAACAAAATTACCTTTTGGTATAAACTGCTGTAATATTTTTCCCCAGACCTGAGATGAAAGGAGCTGTAAATATGGTTCTGAAATTATTCTCCCATCTAGAAGTTAAAAATAGAACTTAAAACTCACTGTAGTTCAGTTGCCATTATGGGAATTGGGGAAAGAATTAATTGAAGTGCTATGACCTGAGTTAAGCAGGCTGTTATATTTAGATGGTCAGACAAGCTTCTTTTAGCCATAAAACCTAGAGATCTCAGAACATTATATGTAACTTCTATAAAGTGAAAATAAATACCCACGTTTGTATGTTTCTAGTATTTACAAATTAGGTGAGATAATTAGAATTCACAGGAAAATTTGTGGTATTCTAGAGAGAATAATGATTTTTTCAGTGGTTTGCCTAAAGGCTTTTGATACCAAAATAGTAACAAGATTCAAAGTACAAAGAAGGTTGATTTAATATTTCTTTAGGGAACTGTCCTGAAGAATATGTAACAATCTGCTTCAGACAAGGAAATGTGAACCCAAAGACATTTTCTAAATACCACATTCTTCCAAGCATTCACATATAATTGCATGACTGCCAATGACAATTGCATTCAATTGTTAAAGAAAAATTCTGGCTGCATCTTTGAACAGATGGGTAAAAATGGGGTATGTATTGAGGCCAGAATAAATTGGCTTGCTTTGAAGAGGTCATCAGATTACAATAATCTTCACTAGCCAAAACAGACCATTAGGCATTTGGAACTATACCCAATACATGTGTTTTTGGTTTTTTTTTTTTTTAATCTGATCCTTTAGAACATTCAGCTAACTTGTAGAGGCTGTACTCAAGCCAGTGGTGTCTATGTAGGACATAAGATTTTCCTGTTTGAAGGCAGGATTTAGGGATCATAGACAACTAACAGCTGAAGGAATGAAGCATTTTAAAAAGTGAAATCTAAAAACGAAGAACAAAGAATTCAAGTCTTCCACATGATTTTGTGTGGAATTTGTAGAATTAGTCATGCTTTACACTTCCATATGCAAAATGTAAGTAATGCTTAGCAGCTGTTCTGAAAGAGAATTCACTTTAAGCTCTGTTGCATTAAACTTTTGTTTATTCCTGTTCATTAAAAATACTTTGTTTTATTTTTTTTCTCATGACTAAATGTTGTGCTATCTCTAGTCTGTAATGCAAGAAGCTGAATTTCATCTTTGAAGCTCCTTAGAAGTTTAGGCTGTAAATGGATTTTGCAATTTAAAGTGGAAAATCTAAGAAAAACATTCTATGTCATACACTGCATCTAGTGTTGTTCTTTTAAAAGTTAAGGATATTTGTTTAAAAAGAACCCATCAATTTTTGCTTAAATTCTTTCTATATTTTCTAAAGAAAAGGGGAATCATAGAATGGCTTTGTGCCTGCAGCACTCCATTTTGGTACTACAGACTTTTTGTAGTCTGCCTACATGGAGGATAGTGAAATCAAGGTTTGACAGTTTATGGAAGGATCTTTGGTGGTTTTTATGCATAAATTCTGCGTGCAGTATATACACTGTACCAAACCCACATTTTTGTGTCAGTGCACATTTATTCTCAAACAAAACAATTAAATGGAAGGGCTGTGGTGCAGGACTCTAATCACAGTGCTTAAACAAGGCAGTACAAGCACAAGTACAGGAGCAGGGGCTCCTGTGTATTTTCACATGAACACTGACTTTATCCCATATGTCATGGACTGTGTGTGTGCGCCCCATTTTATCTTTCCTGTTGTCCTTCTTTTATTTTTCAGATAAATCTGTTAGGAGTATGTGTGATAGTGAAGTTGTTGTGCTCTGGCGTTTTTTAATATCTACCAACCACAATTTTTTGCCTTCCATGTAATTGCAGGTGCTAGCCAGAGATTCATGAATCTTCCTGTTCCTTGTCCAGTGTTCTTATTTCCATGTTTAGTTCACCTTTACCTGCCATATCAGCTTATAGAGACATCAGATCAGACATTCAATCATACTTGTATTGCAAATACACAAAGTGCTGTCAAGTGGTATAAGTATATTCTTGCAAACTTCATAGAAAACAAAACAGAAGGGACTCTCCATCTTTTACCAATGTAAGGAATCTGGCTGCTTTTTAGCTCTGAAAGTAACTTTTATGAATTCATTTAAATGAATTTCTTCACAAAATTTTATTTTCATGTTCCTTGTCATTAAAGAAATTAAATATATATTTTAACTTTTCAAAAAGTAGCAGGCAAAAGCATTTATTTTTAAAACATAAAAAATGTAGGTTTGAGCTCTGGAAGTAGATCTGTTTCACCATCCTGTCTTACTTTTTTAAATCAATATAATGAGGTTTGTCTCCAAATTGTATTTTAATTTGTATTTACATGGCTTGCAATCAGAGAGGTGTGTATTAAACATGAGCAATTTTGTTCTTAGTTGCCAGTTTATTTCAAATCAGTTTTATTTGTTCATCTAGCTGCAGAGCATTAACAGTATCAGCTTATTTTGTCATATAATAAGAATATTTTCTTTTGTTTTTTTAAAAAGGTTTTTTGAATGATTCAGTTACCAAGTGCATTGTGGCTCTGCGCCTGACTGTGGTGGTGAAAGTGAGTACCTGCACACCTGTGGGGAGCCATCCAGACAACTTCCCATGCTCAGGCAAAGGGAAATGCATCACCAGACCAGATGAGGTAAGATCAGCTCACCAAGACATTCCTGTCATGTGGCAATTCCGTGATAATTGAAACACAGCGCAAATTGCCCTTGGTGTTTATACCTTGCAGCTGGGGAACAGGCACTGGCATCTCACAGGTGTTACTAAATAACAATATTTATCTGCTACACCTGAAAATCAAGCGCTTGAAGTAAGAAAATAACAGAAACAAGATGCAGAGATTCATATCCTGCCCTGGTAATAAAAACAATGGTTCAAATCAGGTGTAAGGGAATTGGTTCTGCATCTTAGAGTCACTGCAGAAGGAAGTTTCCCTAAAGGAGGACCATGGTGTGGGCACTTGGGATCTCCAGTCTCCAGACCAATGTGCTCAGATTTAGGAAGTTCTCAACTTTGTCATAGGTTTTAGGTCAGCTTTGATCTAGTGCTTCTCTCTCCACCTCTTAGTAACTGCTTACTCAGAGTAGACTCACCAGTGCAATGAAATTACCAGACCATAATTATAAGAAGCAGAATGGAGTAATTTGATAGTGGTTGCAAGGTTTCCTGTACAGCTTTGTCCTTTACATAATACTGCAGTAGGGATTACAGTGGCAATTCCACTGGACCCTGGGGATTTTGTGTGATAGAGCAGCATAAGAAAATAAGAACCAAATCTGTCAAATTTGCAGTCTATTCTGCTTTTACAGAACCAGACTGGGCTTTTGTGATTTAGATACTGTATACTCTGTTACCTTCTATACATATTATTTCTTATTTCATGGATTAAAAGTCATTTACAGCACAAATATGCACAGTTAATCTTTGGTTTTATATTATTCATTTGGGAGATAAAAGCAGTAGTAACTGTTGAGTAAATATTAACAGCTGTGAGCCTGCTGTGAGCACAAAAAATTTGGCATATTGAGTGAATTCACTTGTAGTTCATCTGCTACCATTTTCTGATTTAAATTCTCAATAAGCGTATTTGATAGAAAATGGTGTTTTGAATTGTAACAACAATAATTAAATTGCCACAGTAATCTATACATACGTGGCAGTACTAACATCTGGAATAATTATCTGTTTTATTTCTCAAAAATGAATTTGTAAAATGCTTGAGGTAATGTGTGAACATAATTATTGCAAGATGAATTTAGAAATAAATGCTGCTTTACTATACCAGCTGGCTGGTATCCAAATAAATTATTCATTCAGATACAGTGTCGTATTTCATAGTCCAGTTTAGTTTTTTCCTTTACTGTATTTATCATTTTTATTTTATAAAGTCAGTATTTTGAATTTGACTTACATAAATAATATGTTCAAGTTTATTATGCATAACAGCATATCAGAATATTGTCTTTTTCCATTATTTGTCAACTTGAGTGTTATATCTTTTGATACATTGCCTCATTTAATATATTTTCATGTTGTTTGTCCAATATGACTCTAGTTTCTTTCTCTTGTTGCATGCGATGTTACAAAATAAGAATAAATTGTTTCCTATATCTATGCAGAAGAATTAATGCATTTCTGTATTAAGGGAAAAGTATATATGGCCTCTAATAATTATCCATGTGTTATTAACCTTTTAAGATGTAGCAAATAAAGAAATTTTTCTTTAAAAAAAGATCGATTGGCTTCACAGCAAGAATGAGAAGCAATTATTTAACTCAAAACAAAGATAAACCAGTATCTGTATGTTCCTGGCTGTAATCTTGACATTGGAAGCTTTCTATGTTAAAAGCAGAACAGTGAGTGATGAGAGCCTGCCTTGTGCACATGCAGGCTGCTGCTTTCCCTGGCAAGTGAATAGAAAAAATTAGGATTGTTTTTATCTTATCACTACTCTTTCTCTGAACCTAATAACCAGAAAATTTCTAAATATAAAAAATTTATAAAAATTATGTAAATATATTTATATGACCATTAAAGATATATAAATATCTTCAAATAAAATTTTAACTTCAGAAATGCAATTGCTTCTATTTTTGCTGTCATTAACTGCTCCTGAGTTTTCTAGAACTTGAATAAATGAGGAATGCTCCCAGTGTTCCTCTCAAATGCCATCAAACCTGTGCCAGGTGCCTGCTGGGCTGGGGTAGCTTGCTAGAACATCAAATACAGTGACCAAAAGGAAGTTAATTTATATCCAGCCTCCTACTCCAGGGGAATTAAAATGCCGTGTTGTCTTTTTGCCTGTCCTGTGTTTCTAAATCCATGAGCTTTCCTTGCTCTTTTGGCTATTAGGTGCATCAGAGAACTTCAGATAGGACCCTGATTCATGCCCAGCATAAAATAAAAATAGAAGGGCATATTTCATTAAGTAGAATGTTTTTGCCATAGTTTAACTGAAATTATGTGAGATGTGCTTTAAAATGTCTTGATGATTTCCCTAATGATGGAGCAAGTGGCTGCCAAAATTGCATGCTTGACATGACAACCATGGTCTGTTTCCCACAAGGCACTTCTTTTTGCAGGACATAAACTTTAATTTTCTTTAAATTTAAAATGTGCCCTTTGTGATTTGCTGTTTGTTTTTATCCATAATTCATTCTGGTTTTGCACAATCTGGTCTTGCAGGATGCAAAGCAACTTCTTAGAAGAAAGCATAAAAGGCCCAATGCCATGAGCAAGCTCAGAGCTCTGCTGGCTGTAGTCATTGCTTCCAGTGCCAAGAAGATTAATGGTTGTCTTTGAGCTTTTATGTACTTCATAGTTTTATTTCAAATCTAGTAGTGTGTAAAAGAATGTAGGAACACATATGCTTATTGGGAAATTTAAATGAAGTTAACAATCTGCAGTGATATAAGCACAGGGGGTTACTGTTATGTATAGAGTGCATTTAACTATAAACAAATGAATTCTGATCTAACCTGGGAGTCTTGGCCAGTTTTTACTCATTCCTTGCTGATCTATAACCTGACTTCTACTCAGCTAGATGCTTTTTATAGAGCGTGGTTATGAAAACCAAAGTTCTAATGCAAAGTTTTCTTTTCAATTATTGTTGCTTTTGAATGGAAGATAAAATTCATCACCTTGAGTGAAGTTCTGTGCAGTGAGGTGATGCTGAGCTCAAGTGATGCCTCTTCCTTCCTTTGTATGAACTTTGTGCCTGTTTTGTGGCAACTTCTCCACTTCCACTTCTCCACAAGGGAAACAGGAATGTGTCAGAAGTACACTTAAGAAGGGCTTCTGGCACTCCTGATAAATAACATAGTCATGGATTTGAGTTTTGAAGATGTATCATATTTATTCTTGTGTAACTCTGCCAGTGTGATAGTTGTAAAGAAGAGTGGAATCTGGAGTTTACTGAGTGAAGTTTTTTATTTAGGTGGAGATGATTATTTTCTACTTAAGTCACAGCTGATTATTCATATGAAGTAAAACCAGAAGCCCCCATCTCTTTGTTTCTAGTTCCATGCGTGTTCTGCACTTTGCATTCCAGTGTTTGTGCATGGGACAGCCGCGTTCCAGCACTGAAGGTCTGGCTTTGGGAGAGCTGAGAGTGAGTGATGTTGCCATCTAGTGTTTGCAGAACAAAGATTCAGATCTCATCTAAATGCGTGCCACAGAGGAGAGAGCTTTCCTTGCTGCTTTTCTTGGAGACTTCCTTGACAATCTTAGTCACCTAAAGAGTTTTTAAATCTGATTTGAATCATTTTATTACCAACAAAAATGTGCCATATCATGCCTCCTGTAGGTACTTTAAGCCTTTAAGAGGTGTAGTGGTCTTGATTTTTATTAAACAGCAAAGTTTGGAAAAGGTAATGAATGCACTCAGAAAAAGACATATTTTAACAGAATTTAAAGGGAGTGTTACTGCTGATGTACCACTCTGGGAGCTTTTCATGTGGAGAGTGCATATCTGTAACAGGACTTTGTTGCAGTAAATCTGCACATTATTGATTCTGACAGTTATTTCAGCCTATAAATCTAATTTCTGGAGTGGAAGAAAAAATGTATAATGATTTAGATATTATGGATCTGATGCCAGACTCCTTGTCTAGATGAAATGACCCAACATCATTAAAAATTTAAGCTGAAGAATTTGGTGCAGGTTTAGTATTTCAAGGAGTAACTTTGTTCAGTTGATATATTTATAGCAACTACTGCTGTTATGACCAGGAAAACCAAACCATCTTTGTTCAGAAGTGTATAAAATGAAAGCATAATCTTTGAAAATTTATTGTGAAGTACATATCCTCTTTGTTTTTAGGCAACATTTTTTTGTGAGTGTGAAGATGCATATAAGGGTTCCCTGTGTGAAGAATTTGATGCCTGTCAGAGCCAACCTTGCCAGAACAATGCAACCTGCACGGATGTAGCACAGAAACACGACAGGAACAATTTCACCTGCAGCTGCCTGCCTGGTAGGTTTTGAATTCTTGAATAATGCAGCTTTGCTTGACATTTGGTGCATCTCTTTTTGCAGAGCAGTGAACTGTGAAGCTTCTGATACCAGAACAGACAGAAACTGCAACAACAACATAAGGGCAGTGGAAGGTTCGTCACTGGTGAAAAATGCCACAGAAAGCACATGTCTGAACCTTAGCCCTGTGAGGGAATTAATCATAACTAGTGGAACTTTACCTACTAAAAACACAGGAGGAAAATTTAGTTTACATCAGCTTTTTTTTTTCTCCCAGAAGTGTTCTGTGACCACCACATAAGCTTAGGTTTAGCTTTTTGGGTTTTTTAAACAATTCTTCTTATTTTTTTTTAATATCAAATGTCTAATGTCATTCAAATGGCTCAATCATTTTTAAGTTTAGTGGTTTGTGTTTTACCCATAATTATTGTATCCACCAAAATGTGTGTCCACACACTAAAAACAGTCTGGAAAACTAACTGTTGTTCATTTAACTTTGAATTTCTAAAAAACTATTCATTCCATATGAAAAATATTAAAGAAAATTGAAAGTAAGAGTTTAATTATCCTATGTGTCTCCCTATGCAAGTTTCAGAAACATTTATATGTGAACATGATCATGTTTCCCAAATTCTGGGAGAAGGAAATGTTATGAAGTTAAATGTCAGCACAAAATGTAGAGTTGTAATGATTCTTAGTGTGTATCTCACAAAAAACTGCTTTCCCCTCCTTTCTCTGGGGACTGTTTAGTGCCTCTGTATTTCTAGTCCCTGCAACATACTTGGGATGCTTTTCCTAAATCATATTTGCTTTCAGATGGACAAAACATGCCCTTTAGGTGGTAATAAGATAGGACATATTTTCTTTATTAATGATTGCATTAAAAATAATTATTTCATAAAGCCATAGGTGTTTCCCCCCCAAATTGTTTAATTTTTGGTGGGGAGGGATTTCTACTTTATTTTCCTTTTTCTCCCCTGCATCAGCTAAATCCTGTGCATGTATGTCCTCTATCTCACCTTGGGGGTCTTTCTCTTCTACATCTGTTCATAGCAGTGATATTCATTGCTTACTAGCCTTTAACACCAGCCATTTGGTTAAATATGCTCATTATGGAAGATTATTAATAATTTTTGTAGGGTTCCTTTTAAAAAAATAAGATGTGCCTGGATGTAGGATGGTTTTTTTTTCCTCAGTCATGCATCCAAGATATTTTCTTGGAAGTAATTAAAAATTAGAAAAGGGGAATGTGTGGTATTTGTTATGAAATTTAGGTATGGAGTGTAGAATAATTTAGATTGTATTTTAAGTTTGTTCATTTTTTGGGGATGTGTTACAGACATCAGACATATGGAACAAAGCAAACTTATGGTCAAATAGTACAGTACACACAATCTGTAGCTTGTGAACTTATAGAAGCATATTTGGAAGAGTTTGCAACTGTGCTGAGCAGTTCTTCACAGCTCCCACTTAAAATAAACACTCTTCTTGAAGCCCAGAAGTAGGAGCAAATGACAGACATTCAGCATATGCACAAATAATTCACAGTGTTAAGTTCTGTTTAAAGCCTTGCTAGAGATTATTGATTTGGGATTCTATTTGCATTGGAAAGCCAAACCAAAATGACTGTATTTTTTTGGTTCTATGAGTACCAGTGAGGACCCAATATCTATTGCCAATTCACTAGTGATGTCAGAATATTGCTGTTGGTAAAATACAACAGATGAAGTCTCTAGAATTCTGCTGGTTTTGTATGCTTCTCTCATGAAGTATACATTTTAATTAGAAATCTCATTTTGTAAGGAATGAGAGTCTGTCCTAGATTCTATTGCTTCTATTGGTTAATTTGATTCAAGAAAAATAATGGTACTACTTGGCTGGCTGAGCAGTATGTTTAGTGGTAAACCCTTGTTTTTGCTTCATCTTCTGAATATTGTGAACCTTTTTGTAGGTTACACTGGAGAGCTGTGCCAGTCAGAGATTGATCATTGCAGCCAGCAGCCGTGCCAGAATGGGGGGACCTGCTCATCCCACCTCAATGGATTCAGCTGTCAGTGCCCTGAAGGTAACCAGCAAACTCCTCTCTAGTACCTCGTAGAAAGTGCTGTTTTTACTCTAAATTTGCAATTATATTGACATGTAGAAATGTATATATTTTTTTTTTTTAATTGTGCCTTAGTTTGTAATTGTAGGCAGAAAAGAAAATGAGATGAGAAATTTTGGATAATCAGCAGCAGGATATGAACTCTTGTAGGAGTTTAGTGTTTCAGTGTATATGTGGCGCAGAAATGTTCTTTATTTCTACAATAGAAATCAGGCTCCAGCACTGATGAGAATGGTGAATTTGAGGAGACTCAGATGTGATCTGATTTTCATGTTGTCCACTAAATGTGTGAGAAAAAGATGTCTCCCTTGTAGTATTTGCACTTTTCCGCACATGGGTCAGTTGACTAAAATGTGTGTAAAAGTAATAACTAAAGAAATTATTTCAATCCCCAAAAGTTTTAATTAATTCTCCTTTCCATTTGGACGTATTCCTTTCTTGACATGAAAGCTTCTCACTGATTCTCACTGGTAAATCTTGTAAATGTGAAACAAGGACACCCCAATGCCAGAGTGTGCTTTCATAACACTGTGCTGACTGCAATGACAGATCCCTAAATTGCGCATGAAAAAATTATCATGAGTGGAAGTTTTCAATTATGAAGCCTCCTATTAGTTATTTATAATTAAGATTGGAACTTTGAGCTAATTATACTTCTGTCCTTCCTTGATCTGTGGATGTTGGTTTTGTTCTACCAGTACTTTAACGCTTGCTGTAAGGGTGTAAATCTTTGATAGCTGCTCTGGTAATATCTACGTGCTTAATAATGAAGATTATTTGTAGTTTCTTCAGGCTGATTCCTTGCTTTTCTAGAGTGCTATGCTTTAACACTTAACTGCTGTGTTGAAACTGACATATTGACAGCCATACAGATCCTGCATGTGGAAAATTCTTGGAAATTGTTTCCCTTAAAAATAGTAGTGAAATTCAGGAGAAAAAGTATTAGATATTAGACTTGGTCTGTAATTAACTTGCAATTTCCCAAAGAAATCTTTTAGGAAGATTCAAGAATCTGAAAGGAATGTTCAAGAATCTTTAAGAAAGCAGTGCAGGCCATGATCTTTCCAATAATGTTGGGAAGAGCAGCTACTGGGATTTTTGGTTGTTTTGTGTCTGCCATAGGTGTTTCTGTGTGTGGCTCATTAATTCTCTGCTGCTGCCCTGTTAATGAATATGCTGATCCTGGCCCAGCCTCACTCCTGTGCCCTCGGGGCAGGGTCACTGCTGGGCTCAGGGCCCTGCAGGGCTGCAGTGAAGGGCACTGTTGCTTCTTCATTGTGTTCTGGAAGGTCTGATGTCAATGAGCTGAAGAATTCAGATATCTTGTGAAAGGAAAGAAAGTTGATTTAACAAAATGCATTGTCTAAGTTTACTAATGACTGTCCCTTGATCATTCTTACATCTTTTGAGGTGTTATCCTTTCACAGAGGCATAATTTGGGAGCTTTTGTTTGGGCTTTAATCTCTGATGAGATTCAGTGATTTTTGTACATACAACAGAGTAGTTAATTGAAAATTGCAGATGCAGTAACTTGCAAATTTCCTGCCAACCTCAAATTTTCTAATTTAAGTGAGGTTTCTTGCTCTGCTGCTATTCTGCTCTGCTTAATGGCAATCGCTTGTTGAGAAAAGGCTTTTCTTTCTGTCACAGTGGGGAAAGGTAACCAAGGAGCTTATGTTTGTGTAGAAACTACAGTCTGCAGATAGAATACATCTTGGAAAAGGATAGCAAAATGCAGCAACTATCACACAAGGAAAAGAAAAAGATGGCAGATGAAGGAATCAGATGGAAACAATGAAGAATGATCTTGAGATTGTGCATTTCTTTTACAAACGAGATCTCTAGTTCATGAAAAAGCGCATGATAACTGACAGAAAGCTAAACCTGAGGCCTTGAAAAAGCAGCCTACCTCAGATGTGAACAGTTCTTGATGACTCTTTAGACAATTTTACTGTCTTAAGAGTCCTTTAGTGAAGAAAATTTCATTATGCTTACAGATTCCATTTTCTGTAGGATGCACTGTACGTTTTAATATCCAAAATACATCAGAAAATAAACTCTTATATGACGTTGTGGAATCGCCTGTAAAGAGAAAATTGGATTTTATACTTGAATTTGTAGTGAAGAAGCTTAAGCAATACTGAAGACCAAAGAATTTGTTTAAAATTTTGACACTGTTGCTTTCAAAATAATGTTTGGATCTTGTACTTGCTTACAGTTGGATAGGGATATTTGATTGTTTTATTAATTTTATGTTAATAAACATACATTTATTAAATATTAATTTCAAATGATCAGGCAAAGGACCTTCTAGACATTCTAAAACCCTACATGTAGTAAGCATGAAAATGAATATTTGAAATTTATATTCAGAATCATTCCATCCTTATCACTCTTAAATATCTCCTCTTGTTTTCTTCCACTTATTGCAGAGTATAACACACTATTGTATTGACAGTAACATTAATAGATGTTATTTAAACTGCTTGGGGTACTGCTCATCTGTTTACAAATTTGGTTATTCCATTTTCTTTAAGCTTCTGAGAAGTTATGTGTATTTCCAAAATACCCTGAAGTGGAACTAAATATACAAATAATAATTGGAAACAGAAAATACCCCTAATTGGTAGAACTAAATGTCATTGCATTAAATTAATAAACACATATTATTAAATAAATCAATGTAGGTTTTAGAGATGCTGAAGCTAGTGATCCTTATTTATGTAGTTATCAAATTCACAGAAATCTTTGTTGAAAGTTAAATAAAAAACCAGCTGTATGGAAATTAACTGTTTGTGTGGTGAGGAAATGTGTTCCTTCCAGACAAAATTTTATAAAATTAGATAGAATGAAAGACTTGGTACTTGAAGGTACTTCACCCTTTGTGAATTTTGCTCATACAATAATACTAAAACGATTTAGTAGTGGGCTGTGGTTTAATACAAAGCCAGACAATAATGAGCAAAGTGCAGATCAGTTACAATAAAGAAATAAACTTCTGTTGCAAGATATTTCTGAAGTTCTGTTCCATGCAAATTTGATGTTCTGATGATAAGTATAGATTAACTGCCTTCAGTGTTACAGGAAAACATTAATCTTTGATAAAAATAACTTGCATTCAGCTGGCCAACCCCATCAAACTGGCCTGGGTTCTTGGGCTCTTCCTGCATGCTTTATGTGGAGGTCACCAGCTTGGACAAATGGAGCAGAAATATTTTAATTTGGCTTAATATATTTTTGAAAAATGGCAGCAATAATGGATGTCAGTCACCCTCTAGAATAAAAGAAGACAGAGCAAAAACAATGCTGTGATAAAGAGTTTAACATAGATTACTTGAAATTCACACTTTAGCATTGATTTTTAGTTTTGAGAGTTTCATTTGGGTAGCTGCAGGTAACTGCTGCTGGCAACACACTGAGCAAAAGTGTCCTGAAATATGTGCAGGCATTTCTGAAAATACTGGAAAGCAATAAATTTATGAATGCTCTTATAATGGCTTATAATGGCTTCTGGTTTAGAAAATGGTTTGACAGCTATAGAAGATGCTAAGTTGTGATTCATACGTGTTGATTTGCAATAGCAGCCAGAAAATGCACATTGTCACCATGAATCTTAATTGACTGGGAGAACAGAAATTATTTTCTGGGAGTTATAATAGTTTGAGTTTCAAGGTTTTCACTATTTTCTCTGCTTCATTGTTCATGTAAAAGCCTTTGTCTCTTCTAGGACATCTTGCAGATGTCATTCTAACTTCTTTAGGTTTACATAGAATAAACCCATTTACAATCTTGATCACAGGAAACTGGGTCACACAGCTGTTGCATATAGATTTCCCAAGGTTACTGGTGATCAGAATGCAGAATTTTTCATATTACCATAAGAGAGTTTAATTTACCTGAAGAACATTTTGTCGTTAATTAAAAATTTTTATGGCTGTTTAGTTTCTGGTACTTTCCACTAATCTAATGTTTTTACCTGGCACCTTCCCAAATTGCTCCTATTTTTAATAGACTTCTCCTTAATGCTTGAATGGGTTTAGCCTCTATTCATCTTCATCAAGAAAGACTTAGCTAGAGTGAATTTCAATCAAAATCTTACAGTGTTTTAATGGTTTCTTGATCCTTCTGATTAGTAACTTTTTTTCTCTCTACAGAATTCTGATGAAATACCATTTATTTCTATTTCCTTACAAGACAAATTTCTATAGGGAAAATAATAAATTGCTTGTATTTCTTTTAGTGCTTATCCCTGCATTTCAAAGTTAAAAGTTTTGTAGTCCTGAGCCCTTGCAATTCACAGACCTAATTTTTCACATACTTGTAATTATTGGAATTGGGTCTAATGTAACATTCAGACAAGGTAGTTGTTCTACAAGCTGTATGAAAGGCAGTTCTGTGATGTCTTCAGAAAATGTTTGACTTCCTTGACTTGGACATGACTCTTTTGCTTTCAGTAGCCAAATAATTAAAATCCCACTGTGGTGAGAAATTTGGATTTATTCAGAACCTTTCTGTTTCTGAAATCTGATCTAGTTTCTGTCACTGCACTGGAGGTCTGTAGCAATTTATAAAGCACATCTCTATAAATTTATAAAATATATCTCTGTTGTACTTCCTGACAAGTAGCCAAATTACTATCCATGTAAGCACAGGCATTGTACTGTGGGTTTTACCAGTATAAATATTTTCCATTATTGTCTTTCCCCTTTACCTTCTGTGTTATTCCTTGGTAGATTTTGTATTCACTTCTTTCAAATTACCACTACACTTTGCATTTCATGTCCCTTTTATGCCGGCAATGACCTTCAGGCAGGGTTGGGTCCATGTTAGCTGGTTGAAGATCAGTTCAGGGGATATTTTTCTGCAGATAAACAATTATGTTTTTTTTCCTTCTGGAATTTGGTTGTTTTCAGTCAATACACCTCTGAATTTGATTTATATAGTTGTTACTTTGCTTTCAACAATTGAACTAGTATGGTTTTAAGTGTACATTCAGAAATGCCAGAATAATGGATTTCCATATTTTCTGCTTTGAGTATTTTCAGATATTTGACTCATGCTTGAGATTTGAACTTCCAGAATCACCTAAATGCATTTCACAGTGCAGTCAAAGATAGCACAAGGGCAACATGTTTTGGTGTATTTTAAACCTGCATATGTTCTTGAAGTGCTTTGTCACTTGAAACATTAGCCATCTGCCAGTAACCTCCTCTTTGGAGGGAAGATTACTGCAAAGGTTGTATTAGTGTCATTGTGTGACCTCAGATCTCCTTAAACCTTGTTAATCTGGTTTCAGAGTTACTTGAGAGATTTCACTGGACTCACTGGCTGATCTCCTCCTGGTAATAGTTAAAAGTCCTTGCAGATTCTTTTAAATCTGATCAAGATTTTATTACAACAGTACAGGCTTTGTTAATTTGCTAGTGAACCATTGCTGAAATTACATCCTTGCTCTTGGGGTTTCTGTTCTTTGCGGTTTCTGATGGTTTAGTTATCTTTTAGGCTCTCTCTGTTCAGCATTGCTGAGCAGGTGGTCCTGACAAAGCCCATGAAGCAATTGAAGCCACAGGACAGCAACATGGGGAGGACAGAAGGCTTTTGCCTGTTCTTCATCTGTGCCCTGCCAGACCTGATTTTCTCTCCTGGTCTGTTGCAGAGTTTGTATGACAAAACTTAAAAGTCCAATCTGTAGGTTATTTCTTTTCTTTCCATCTTTCTAGCTACCTTTTTTTTTGTAAATTATTTGTAAATGGTCTGTACAAAAGGACCAAATACTTATTAAAAGATATATAATTGAATGGAAAGGACAGATGGTTCTGTTATTTGGAAGGGTTCTAGAATTTGAATATGCTTTTCTCACTTTAGGATACAATAACCATGCATTGTGTTACTACATCCATGATGTATGTGTATGTATAGATACAAGATGCAGTTACTGTAACTTATTAAAACATATTTCTTCCCTACATCTGATTAAAAGTTCCCTTGCTAGAATATCCTTTTCCTTATGTCTGTTTTTGGTATGGTGTTGCTTTAATAAACCGTTGTCTCTCCTGCTAATGAGAAGTTTGTTCTTCTAAAAGATATTTCAATTATTGAAACTCAATGAATGCATGTTATGTTGTTACATTTTACATACACGTTAACAGAGGAAAAATAGGTCAGTTTGGGCTTTTTTTTCTTTTTTTTAGGCTAGCCAGCTCCTGATCTTTAGAAAATCTCCTCTACTTTTCAAGCCAGATTCACTCAGAAAGCAGATAAGCACTGTCGGTTTCAGAAAATATTTTTGCAATTCCCTGCCTAAATAATTTATAGTATGATATTAGCTGAAGCATCTCTTTTCAGAGAATGCTAATAGGCAAAAATTAGAGTTTATTGTGTAAGAAGTCTTTATTTTTTATAATATTCATAGAATTAAAAAAGAAAGGAATCTAGATCTCTCTGTGGCTTACTTTTGACTTGCTTTAGTTCTTAAAATTGTATGCATATCAGGATGCTTACTTACCAAACCCATTTATTTCTTTTAGGGTTTTTAGGAACCACTTGTGAGGACAAAATTGACCCTTGTGCATCATCTCCGTGCCAGAACAATGGAACCTGCTATGCAGACAGACTTGCCTTCTCCTGCAGCTGTAGTCCTGGGTTTACAGGACCCACGTGTGCTCAGCTGATCGATTTCTGTGCTCTGAACCCGTGCGCACACGGCATTTGTCGCAGCGTTGGAACCAGCTACAGATGCCTCTGTATCCCTGGTTTGTACCAAGTTACATCCTCTGGAAATCTTCTAATATTTTTATATGTAGGTTCCATATATAGCTTAAAATGACTTCCTTTTCTTCTCAGTCTATAAAACAGATTGAGCAGATGTTCTGTCTGTTTAGAGCAGTGATAGGAATCTACACATTGCACTTGGAAAACCAAAAATTGCAGAGTGAGCACTGAAATACCCACTGAGATCCATATGGCTTGAGTGAACTCTACAGCTGTATTACAAAACTGAAGTCTGCAGGATAAATCTTTCCAAGGCAAGGCATCAGCACTGTTGGAATTACAAAATTTGGTAGAAAGAATGGAAAATTTGACACAGATCATTTGGGAAAAACAGACAAGGCAGCTGAACAGAAGTAGAGAAGGAAAAATATTGGCTATTCCAAAGGGTTGAGTTCTGCTGTGCATGTTTACACAAATTGTCTCTCTAGAGGAGATCCAGCAGGGCTGCTCAGGTGAGTCCAGTGAGGAGACTCAGCTGGGAACTGTTTGGCAGCACAGCCTGACATTCATGGGGTCTCTGTAGCAACTGGTTTAGCACCAGATTTCTTTCATCCTTGTACCAACATAACAGGATATTGGGGTGCTTATAGCCCCCTTTCTTCATGTTAGCAATGCTAATTAGAGGTGAAGTAGCAGTTAAAATGTCTGATAACCAGAGCTACACATCCACTGCTGCTTGAGCACTTACAGAGTGAGCATCAATCTTTCTTTTCACTTGAATAATTTTGGCATCTTTTTTTTTTAGTCTGTTCCTATGAAGCTATAAACTTGAAAACTGAAGAAATTAAGGATAAAACTAATTTCCAGTCTACAAGGGATAAACTAAGGAGTGACATTTGATAGTTAGTAGCTCTGCTGTGACATTTACATTGTTCTACACTCCTTTCAGAGGAATACCTTCTCTCTGCTGCTTTTCCTTGTTTTCTGAGAAACCAGTCATGATTCTTCATCTCTTCCATCTCAGTTTTCAGGATGTGCATGTATCCCACCAATCTATTTATGGATATTTATGAATATGGGGATTTTGTAATGAAATTAACTTATTCAGCATTTTTAGGTGGTGTCAGAATTTATCTGCTGTTTAGAGACATGAAAGGGACCATCAGAAATATTTTGGGAGGAACTCACAAATTACCAGAAGCTATGGACATTTGTTGTTGGAGCTGACAGATTTATAGTTAAATTACATACTCTTTTATAAAGGAGAAAAGTATGAAAGTAAAATGCTGACAATACCACAGTAATGTTATAATGCATTTGTTGACAGCACTTGTCATTCATAGTAGGAAAAACTAGACATTTTTCTTTCCAAGAAACCCTGGAAAGTTTTACTCTTCTTCAGCATGTTTTTTGCCTGTAGTTCAAACAAAGAAAAGCTAGTCAAATATTCTCAGTCAAATAAAAGCTTTTTTCAGAACTTTGTTACCTAAACCTGATTAGAATTCCATAGTTTGGCTTTTTCAAAATTATTCTGTCTCTCTCAGGACTTAAAAGTAATCTTAGAACTTTCATGTTATGAAAACATATTTTTATTTGAACAATACTTATGCTTTTAAAAGTTACAGATAAGGAGTCTTAGAGGTGGCATCCAGGACCGTATATGGCATTTATTTAGCTAAACTCTTTTGTGTTGCTCCATGTATTAAAAAAAAAAGATTTTTTTTTTCCAAACATTTTGTAGGGTGCTGTAAACTTCACTTTTAAAAATAACACTACTTGCTTCACATAGAGGTGAAACTAGAGGCAAAATTAAGTGAGCTCATCATTAATCTGTCAATAGTTTGAAAACTTGGGTAATTTATTTCAGAAGGTCATTTAAGAACTGCACCTAAGTGGCAGCAAGATAGGGGTAGACAGAATATTTCCTGCTTTTATACCTTTTATGCTTTTCATTATTATGAACATACCATTATGGTCTTTTATTAACTCAGAGCAGCAGAATTTTAATCAATTATTTTCACGTATTTTTCCCATAACTTAAAAGGATAGTAGACAATTGGCAGTCAAGTTCAGTGTAGATCATCATGTAGGAGGCTCTGTGACTTACACTTGCCCTTGGTTTGGGTAATTATTGAGTGTAAGGCAGGTAAGAGCAATTAGACTTGAGGATTCCTATGTTGCAATTGCTAAAAAAACCCAAACTAAAATAATGACTACAAATCATAACCTAATACATTTTTGGTATGTCTATCAAAAAGCAGTTTGATAGAGGGGGTGAGTAATGTTGTTTTGTCTCTGGGATGTTAAAAAGGTGGATTGTATTTACAGTTTTGCCTGAAGAGACCTTGACAGTATCTGTTACGTTACTTGTAAAGTGAAGGAATAAAATTTGGGTACAGTTTAGAAGCATTATCAAGGGTTAATAGAAAGATATTACCAGGAAAGAAATGGTCTCTGCCTTGTGACCTTGAGGCTTTCTGACTTGCAGACTCTCAACATCTGTGCCTGCTCCCTGATCATTGGCTTCTTTGTACAGGAGGCTTTCAGGAGGCTTTTCAGGCTTTCAGACATACCCCTGAATTCCTACCTGTAATTTTTTGTTTTTAGGTATTTTAATGGAAAGGCTGTTAAATGACATTTTAGAATTGTCTTCTGTATTGATTATCTGACATGTCTGAAAAACAGTTTTATGAAGTTTGGAATCTGTCACTTAAATTTTGTGTTTAGCTCTAGGATGCTGTAGTCTTTTTTTTTTTTTTTTTAAGTATTTGACAGAGGATATAATTTTCTAATACAGAAACAAAGTGCCTAAGAGTTTTGCTTATATGTGTGACCTGAACACTGTCATTCCTTTAAGCACTGTTTTACAGTGTCAGTTGGATTTTGGATTTTCATCTGTGGTACTTCTGTCTCAAAAATTAAACAAGAGAGGAATTTTAAATTGTTCCAATTAGTCCAAGGTCTGTGCAAATCTCCTTGCTTGGTAGCAGTTTGACTTCCTTGTTTCTTTGGCCAGTGTACAGATTGAAGAATGATAAATGATAGTGGTTATACTTGCATAGCTGCACAATTTGCAGAACATGAACAACCAGACATTTGCTACTAATTTTGTGTGTGTGTGTGTGCTGGTTTTCATTGTGGGCGTTCATCTAATAGCTTGTAGAGGAAAGCTAATTTGTATAAGCTAACTTACAAAGCAGTCTAATATTTTGAATGCTCCTATTTTCAGAGTGGAAGGAAAAGTGTGTAAGTTATTTCCAAGATGAAAATACTTCAAATGTCTGCTGAGGGGCTCTGTGGAGCTCCCAAGCCTATGCAGCCATACCTGCTTTGTACTGTGTGTGTGATTTTTCAGTTGCACATGAAACCTTACCTCAAATCTGTATTTCTATGCTTACACACCCTGATTATTAGCACTTATCACCTCACCCTTTACAGGCAACAAAGAAATACTTAATGTTTGTACATTAGATACAGAGGTTGTTTCATGTTTTACTTCTTACCTCATATTAAAGAACTAATTCTAATAAAAGTTCCTGTGCTCTTTTGCTGGCTTCTCATCTAAAGTCTGGTTGGTGAAACTAGTGGAAACCCTTTGTGTCTTTTTGTAGAATGTTTATTTAGTCTCTGGATCCCCAACCAGTTTCTTCCTCCTGATAAACCTTTTTACTCTTTATATGCAATTGTTTTAATACAGCCACCATTATAAATTTCCAGTGCAAATATTTAATATAGTATTTTTAGTTTTGTCTGGTCCTAAGTGTAGAAATATAGCTAGAAATTGCATGGCTTAATATCACAGTAAGGTTTTGGATTTGGGTTTTTTAAAGACATAGACTTTGAAACTGCACAGCACATGTATAGACATTAACACCTGTCCTCCATATAGATATATATGATGGCATATATAGAACATTTGGGAAAAAGAAAAGAGAGGAGTTTCAGAAAAAGTGCTGCAGGGTATAAAAAGTGACTGCAACTTCAGAAGTCGTACCATGGAGTATGTTCCCTTGATTTTACTGCTCATGCAGCTTAATAGATAGTTCTAGGAGCATAAGTTAATTTTAGTGCCTTTGCAGAGGCCAGAGCAAGATTTGTCTTGCAGCAGTTGCAATTTTTCTTTTCTGTGTCTTTTCTCTTCCCACATTGTGTAACTGGGGCAGGTATGTGAGCTCTGGAAGAAGTGACTTCAAGTTAATTCCAGTTCCTGACTGTCTCCAAGCCCATTATTGCTTCTGTTTCCTCATCTTGTTTCCACTTCTGCATTAAGACAACATTCCATGCAATCTGACCATGGCTGGTGAGCATGGCTTCCTACCTTCCTGCCACCTGGAGTATTCTTCTCTTTTATTTAATTGCTGTGTAAGCTCAGATTTAAGTGAGCACATTTATTTCCTGGCTATATAACATGCAGCTCTGTGGTAGTGAACAGCCACAAGTGTGAACTGATGCTGTTCCCTGCACAATAGAGCTGGCTTGCATTTACCCCATTAGGCCTTCCCATAAAGATGGGATTTATGTTCTGCTGCCTTGATTGGGTGAAATGTTAAGTATGGATAGCCCAGGGAGTCACTATTGAGGGGTTCGTGTCTAAAATGGCTCAAAAGATTTCAGCTTTGTTCTTTATTGATTCCTAAAGGGAGAGTAAGCTTTTGCCTTTCTTTTGTTAACCTGAGAGTGCAGATATTCTTGAGAGATTATTCTGCTGTATCTTTTGCTCTTGAAGGCTTTGACAACCCCCATGTCTTCTCCTCATCAGCCTGTGAGACACAAGATTGTGGGCTCCCTTTCCCATTTTCTCATCTGCAGTTTTTAACAGCCATGTACAAAGACAGTGCAGTTCAGCATGTAACTGAAGGCCATACCTTGGCACAAATGGATTTTCTCTGTTCTTCTCAGATGTAGTTTTTTTCTGCTGTTTTTATGATATGTTAGAAAGTGATGAGATTTTATTTCTATCAGGAAAATAACCTGCTCTCTTCGAGGCAGCCTTCCAGTTGCTGAAGAAAGAGGAAGAAGAATTTGGGGGTCAAGAGGAGAATGGCAACAAATCTGTTTCTGCTTTTGTAAAGCCCAGTAACAGTGGGCAGTACCAGTGGGATGGCCACATAGAGGGAAAAGGGTTACATAGGGACATCTCTATTTTAGGGTTTTTTAGACTCCCTGTCCATTCCTCAGCATCTGAAGAGAGCACATCAGAATTGAACCTTCATTTTCAGGTTCTGCTTGAGTTCATAAAGATTCTATTACTAAAGATTTTTCCAATTTCATGTGGCCTGGAAAAGTTGCCCTTTTTTGAAGCTGCAATTCCTCCTGTGGGTTTTTTTATCCTGTTCAGGACACAGTAGCTGGAGAAGTGTTGTTAATGTAGGTATATTTTCTTTCTTTCTGAGTACATCCACAGAAATATTGCACACCACAAAAGATGCAAGGAGCTGCATTTGGCATTGGCTGGGAACATAAAAAGCAGCAGAATCATAACACTGCTAGAAGGAGAGGAAGCAGCTACACTAGAATCCATTACTCTGAAGTTATTTATGAAAAATGCTCCTTTTTCAATTTAAATTCTTCAACAAAAATGTATAAATTATTTATGTAGTCTTTTTGAAGATATCTGTATGAATTCAGTGTACTACAGGGTTTTTGTATCAGTATAATTTAAAAGCAGTAATACCAGGAGAAATGCTCATTAGGAATGACAAGGTAGCTCTTATCTCCCTGAGGAGAAGCAAGCCTTTCCCTCAGGTGGTCCCACAGTGGAATGTTCTCCATCCCAGCAGTTCCAGCAGGAGGAGGCTGCTGGCCCCAGGGTGAGGATGTGAGGGTGAAATTGTGTGTGGGTGAGACCTGCCCTCTCGTGGAGAGAGGAAGCATCTTTCCCTGGCTGTGTGCAGTGTCTGGCAGCGTGGGCTGGCTGCAGCCTGAGGAGGTGATACCATCGTTCATATCGATTTTGGAAACCAGACAGCTATTTAGTCACAAATTCCCTTCGTTCTCTTGGAAAGGTGAGAAGTGGGAAACATTTTTCTGAGAGTATCTCATTACATCGGTGTTAAACACTGGGAATTCCCATCTGTTTTTCTGACTGATTCTCCCATCTGATTTTGGTGGGTTTTATGTGTTGGCTACAGATCTCACTACATCAGAATATTTCATATACTCATAAACTAGATAAACTTCATTGTAGGGTAGCAGGAAAACCCATAACATTTAGCATAATTAATTCTTTATTGCCTGGCTGGCAGCTTTGGAGAAAGTGGTTCTGAAATGTTTCTTAATACCTTACTAGCCCAACTATTTCCTATGAAAAGAGGATTTTTTGAGAATCATAATGGATGGTATTGCCTATATATCTTGACTAGTACCAACAGTTGTATCTTCAAAAAATTTTGTTTTGAATTATCCATAATAGGGAGGGAGAGGGTAAATGCAAATATTGTCTGAAGGCAGCATTTATCCTATTTTCTATTATTTTATGAGAATTTTGGGTAATATTTAGACCAGGATGCTGAATACAGATTGATTGCGACTTACTAAGAGAATATGCCCCTCTCTTTGGTTCTGTGTTCATGAAAGATACCCTCCTTTCATATCTGACTTTTGCTACTAACTAGAGATTACTTTAAGAAGTAAAATCACACTGGAGAATCTACACTTCATATTTTAGGCCTTTTTGCTGGCACCTGTATTCATGCCCACTGCATATTCATTCATTGTATGTTCATTAATTTAATTTTCTTATAAGTGTAATGAGGAAATCAAGCTTTTATAAGCACATGAACACAGTTCCAGTGCCTGGTATTATATCATAGACTACTCTAGGTCTGTAATTTTAACTACTGTTAGGGCTAATGATTGTGTGGCACACTAAGTAATAAAAAAGGTGCTGTTTTCATGTGGATTAACTCCTTTCTTATCTCGCAGTACAAATTACTCTGTGGCTTTAACAGGCCATGTAGCTTTTCTCTGCTTTTGCTTTCTATGTTTACTTAATTGGCCCACAGTACCTGCCTGTGGCTTGGAAATACTGTAAAGATGAAAGTACCTTAATGCTTCTGCAGTGCTTTGACATTGTACAGCATTAATGCTAAAACATGTAATCATTCTAACTACTGTTATACAATTATCACTTCTTTGATGAACAGTGGCTTTGATGCAAGGATCCAAAGGAGCTGGGATACAGTCAATATTCCTGTATTTCTTTTAACAATCTGAGTGTGGGTATTCACATTGCTGCTTCTGACCTCTGCCACCACCCTCCATCCTTACACCTCATTATGGTTTATCACAGGAGCTAGGAATTCTCTCAGAATACTATGCTTCCAATATTTTCTCGGTAATTTTCACCTGGGGAACAGATGCCTTTAAAATCAATGTCTTAACAAATATCAGTTTGCACAGTATATTTAAATAAACAAGCATCTGCCCATGGCCTATAGTCGCCTAATAGTTAATTTTTACTGCGAAGTGTTCCATAACTATTTTTGTTTCCCCTTCGTGTGATTTAGGTTACCACGGCCTTTACTGTGAGGAGGAGTACAATGAATGCCTCTCTGCGCCCTGCCAGAACGGAGCCACCTGCAGAGACCTCGTCAACAGCTACGAGTGCGTGTGCCTTGCTGAATACGAAGGTAGGCTGGGCTTTGCAAGTGTTCTCTGCAGTTTTTGTGGCAGGTTCTGTTACAGAGATACCATATCCTGAGCAGAAATATATCCCTCATGTAAAATTAACAGAGACAAACTTCAGTATTGATACTGATCCCTTAATCTTTATTCAGATTAATAGTTAAGATTTAGCTCCTCTGTGAATAATGCATGTCCTGGTCTGGGCACAAATGGATTTTTCTCTGTTCTTCTCAGGTGTAGTTTTTTCTGCTGTTTTTATTATATGTTAGAAAGTGATGAGATTTTAAAAGTCCCATAACTGTTAAATAGACTTTTTCATCAGTTGTTGTTGGAGCCTTTACACAGAGAGCTTTCAAATTATTTTTTATTTTCTCTAGTGAAGTGAGCTAAAACATAATAATAAAATATTAGTATTTGAAATAGATTAGCACAAAGGAATAGAAATAAAAGCTTTATCTTCATTGTTCATTTAGAGGACTGTAAAGCCCAGAGAGGGTAGTAGGTCTGTGGCTGCTTTTCCATGTTAACTGCAGCTATTCTTAGATCTGTGTTCAAATGGAATCCAGCTTTGGCATTTTTGAAGTAATTTATAAAAGAGATGAGAATAGCGTTTGTTTGGGTGTACAAAATCTTTTCTCTCACAAGAGATTTCAGCTCTAAACAAATTAGCACATATCAGTGGTCTGTGACAAATCCTGTGGGGAAGACTAAAGTGATACTTTTTTAGTGTGTTCTGTGTTGAATCGTTGAGGACATTTTGAATGTAATTTTATATGCTATTAGGATTATAAATAAATAAATATTCTAACAGAATGACTGTGTTTTAAGGAACATTGCTCTAGCATTTTCTCATTAAGCATATCAATCCTTATCTGTGCTGATAAGTAACGCTCACTTAACAGCTGCTTGAGGCTAAATATGTGTTTCACACTGGTGATTGCACTGCTCTTTAACTATAGATGCAGAATTCATCATTTTAGAGGCCTGGTGAGGAAATGACCCTCATCTTTTCATGACAGTTTAAGCAGCACTTAATCATAATGTTCACCATAATATTCATCTTCTGTTCTCACCCGGCCTGTTGGTGGAGCTGCAAGCACTGTGTGCACAGCACATCGTGCTGGAAATGAAAGCAGGGAGCGCCTGGTCCTGGAGGCTGCTTCTGCTGATCACTGAGCTCCCATCATTGCAGCACTTGGGGAGTTCAGTGGCCCCCTATGTTTCGTCTGAACAGTAGACCCCAAGAAATAATGCATGCAGCACTGGCATTAGATTCTCTCTCCTGGTCCCTAGGTGGGAATATGCTGTGTTACATGTTTTTTATGCTAGGTGCAGCTTGCACTGTCTTCTGCAGGGCAAACCTGCTGGATTTACAATGCCTACAATGGCATGAAAGAGTGGCATGAGGTAGAGCCATCCAGTTATACATTTTAAACTATACATTTGAATTTTTTTTTTATTACCTTAGTTATATTCCTCATTTCCAGCAACAAGTAATGAGAGGCATCTCAATGCTTATCTATGCTAATAAATAAGTTATTACATATAATTCTTAGTCAAAACAATTATTTTTGACGTGTTACTGAAGAATTTTAGATAACTGATCTGTTTATGCTTCATTACATGGTTTTTCATAGACCCAATAGTTCTAAGCAGAAATTGCCCTGTCTCTCCTAGCCCACAGTATGTGGGAAGAGCAGAGAGGAGGCATGTGTGTAAAAAGTTTAGCCAGCATAAACCATGTGGCATTACTGCTATGGCATCATTAGCCCAGTATGACAGGTGTGGAGTCTGCACACTCATCCTGGTGAAGTCAAGTTATCACATGTACTGATTCCATGCTGCCAGTATCAGTCATGTCAATGGCAATTACTGATTTTTCCTTTTCAGGAAGGCACTGTGAATTATACAAAGATCCTTGTGTTAACATCAACTGCCAGAATGGTGGCACTTGTGACAGTGAAGGTCTGAATGCTACGTGCATTTGTGCACCTGGATATGCAGGCAAGTGATTTGTGTGTTACACAGAACACCTAGCTGTCATTGTTCACTGTGTCTAGAGGAAGACAAATACCAAGTAAGACTGTGTCTCTTCAAGAAATGAACCAATGTGAGCTTTGCTGTATTGTGAGCAGTCTAGTGACAATGAAAAACTTTTCATATTACTTACATCTGCTTTGAACTTTGTAGCAAAAGAGGCCTGTTACTAAAGTGACTTCACAAAGCTAACAGCTATTTAACATGGCTTATGACCTTGCTACTTGAGACTAGACTGCATTTTAAAAATAGTATTTTGAAGATTTCCAGGTAACCCAATATACTAATGGATACTGTTGAAAATGAAAAATCTTTTAACAGTGACCTTAGTTTCTGTGTGCTCAAGAAACCTCTTATTCCATTATCTTAATAAGCAACTGCTGAAAGCCCTAAAGTACTTATTATGAATCAATTTACACTTTCAGAGTGCTGGTAAGAAACTCATTTAATCTTTTGGCCTTGAACTTAGACTGATGTGATTGGCATAATCCAAATATCTGATGTCAAGATAATTTACAATCTGATGTTCTGTTAGTCATGTAAGGTAATATCCAATGTGAGAGTAATGGGTAAACCCATTCATAGCTGGTTTATAGGTCAAATTGTGCTTTTTGATCTCTTCTAGTTAAAGGACATTCTTTGGAAAAGAATTAGCTTTCCATTGTACCCTGTCAGTTTCTCAGGCGCTGATTATCTACATAATTGCATAGCATAACAGAATATCCATGATCGTCTGTTATACCACATTTTCTTGGGATGGAAGTTATATTTAGAGAAATAGGACAGAGTCTGTGTGAGGTTAGTCAAGTCCCTTAGTCCTCAGGCTTTATTTTCACCTGGTTGAATAAGGATAATACTTTCTCCTTGGAATCCTTTTGATGTTCTGAGAATAGAGATGTATTGCACTATAAGGAGTTTTGCAGCAAGAGAGAAGTTAAATGACTGAGGATGTACTGCTACATCAGGCACCTGTCATATATGGTTTTGGTTTTTTTCCCCTATGTAAGGTGAAGACTGTGAAATTGATGTAAATGACTGTGACAGCAACCCATGTCACCATGCTGGAACTTGCATAGATCAGCCTGGTGGTTACACCTGCCATTGTCCTCATGGATGGGTCGGTGCAAACTGTGAAATACGTAAGTGTTGGAGTTCTCTAAGCATTTCTAAAAATTGTAAGTTATATTAAAGGAGCTTTTTCTTTATCTCTAGATACCTATCTGCACAAATACTCTGAATCATACGTAAATGAACACAATAATGGTAAATTAATTTTATTTTTGGCCATAGCATTTCAAAAGTAGGTGTGAAAGTTAAAAACTTCTTTTTCTGGGCACCCTGCTTTGAGATGTGTCAGACTGGATTGTGATTGTCTCAGAGCTGGGCACTCAGTTTGCATTTTAATTGTGCTCATGCTTCACAGCCTCCCTGCGCACTTTGGGTCAAGTGTGTTCCATAGCAGTATAAGCACATTTCTAACAGGCTTGTATTGACTTCTGAGCACCTGCAGCTCTAGTGATGTCTCAGCAAAACAACTTGGAACTTGCTTACCTAAGGAAACTGGTGTAATTGTTCTGTAATTTGTGTATGCAGGCATTTAGCAACTTTTTCAGGAATAACTATTCCAGCCATAGGCTAACTTCCATCAAATTTGTTAGATAGAAGAAGGAGTCCAAGACCAAATATTTCCAAAGTATTCAGTAAGACTTAAGAGAGGTTCCCCTGGAAGGAACGGCTTCAGTGTGGGCTTGTTTCTCATTTTAGAGAGAAACTTCACTGTAAGGGCATCCTTATGGCACAGTGGAGAGTCCAGGAGAGGCAGAATGTATGAAGTAGCCATGTGAAGATCTTTGTGCTCACTGTGAATGAGCTGTGAATTAACGAGCCGATGGGAACTTAATTCTAATCATCTCTAGATAGGCCATATCCAGCTCTTTTATAAACAGGGGGAGCACGTCTGAACTCACTGGGAGACAATGACAATGGAGACCTAAGACAATGGTGCAGTGGAATTCTTTGAGCTCCAAAGTTTGAATCTATTAGTAAATGTGCTTCTGTTCATCTTTCCAGTTCTCTTTGCCATATTTATTATATTCAGCAGTTTGTACATAATGGTAATAATGTGATGGAAGTTAAACACTGCATACTGACTTTGTATTGGACCATCCCTCTGAATGCTAGAAAAAGACACAAAGCCAGACTTATCAAGAAATTGGTGTTTGAGTGGCATTTGACTAAATAAATCACATTTTATCCTTTGAGATTTTCTGTTACTGACCATGAAGGAGGCTATTGCTACTTAATCTTTTTTGTAGAACCACCCTATTTATAGTTTTTTCACCAGCTGGTTTAGCTGCTTGAAGTGACTACTTTAACAGGATTTCAGGGTTATCTTCTTGTCAGACTGTTCTTTTTAATTTCCAAGTGCTGTACGTACAACAAACTAGATAAGATGTACGTTGCCTGGATGAATTGCGGTATTTTTTAATATCATCTTATGATCCTTACCAGTATTAGCAATTCCAATTAAATAGGATTAAATTGGTCTTAATTATAAAGAGGATATTCTTTCTTGCAAAATGAAATGCATTTGCCTAAAAAGTTAATGGAGCATTCACATTAAAAATGCTTACAAATGTCTCTTATGAATTCTCTAATGCCTGCTGGTTATTTGTTAATATCATTACCTTTGCCACATTTGTAATTATTAATGTAGTCACTGAGGTATGCCAAACCGTGTGGTTACTTGAAAACTGACATTATGAAGAATTTCTAGTACAGACCATGGTGTGCGTTGAAATCTTATTCCTAATTAATTTTATGAACTTAAATATAACAACTGAAAATGCTGTGATTTTGAGCTGTCATATGCTATTTCTAATCTCTGGAGTACAAGATATTAATCTTTATATTTTGATATGGTGAGGAAAAAGGGAAGAAATTTTTCTCATCTTTTGTCATCCAGAGATGGAAGACATGGAATCTAAATCAGAAATGTCTTGCCATATATCTGCAGACATTAGATCTGAATTCAGCCTAGCCTGACAGCCTGACAGAAACCACTGTGTGTGACAAATGTGCTGCAGAACAGAAATAGAAGCCCATCCCAAACTGCACAGAGCACAGCTATATTCCCTTCCTCATATCCTGACTGGGCGAACTGCAGTAACAGTGCTTTAGAAACATTAAATCACTGAATGATTCAGGTTGATCAAAACTTTACTGACCTCTGAAGAAGATAAGAGAAATGAACAGCCAGTCCTTAAACTCAGCTCCCATTTGTGGACAAAGTCTGAGCACCCCTGAGCTGGGAGGTGCTCCAGGACAACTTTCACTATTGTGACAAAGAGCAGCCATTTCTCCCAACTCTGCCCAGCTGAATCCCACATGTTACAGCTTTGGCCTTTCTCACCACCTGCCTCTAAAACAGATTTCTTTTCTTTTCCTGTCCTTGTACGCTCCCTGTATTTCTGCTGTAGATTGAGATTTTATCCACTGCTGCTGAACTGGAGATTTCAGCTCAGGTGCTTGAATTATCTGCCATCATCAGCATCTTTGAGAGGTGGCTTCTGAGAATATCTTAACCTCCCAAAGCAGGTGCTTGGAAGCCCTGTTCCCAGCCTGTTTGTGATTGAGGAAAGGGAGATTCTAAATCAGGGCAAAGCAGAAGTACATTTGAAAAGGGAACAGGCACCTGCTAGAAATAACTTTTGCAGAGTGCTACATTTCTGTAGTCAGGATGATTCCAGTCTGTTCCTGTTTTGAAATAATATGAGACCATAGGCTGCCAAAAATGAACCCTGGAGGGAAGTACAGGTTAATTAGAAATATTCTGATCCATGCTAGAGAGAAACAGATCTGAGGACATAGGCAATTGATAGAAAATCTGTTTGGCATAGATATAGTTTGGGGATCAGGAATATTTATATAGAAGATCTGGAATACATAAATACAAGAAGCCTCTTCCAGATTTGCTTTACTTTAAGGTCTGCTTTGAGAATCTCAGGGAAATTATGCTTGGAAAAAGACTACAATGGGCTCCTTACTGTAGGACCTTATGATGTGTCCCTTTTGTCCTTGAAATGATGAAGTCTCTGCAGTTTGGTGGAGATAGGCATAAGAAAGTCTGTGTTTCAAATTACAAACTAAGTGTGCATCTTAAATAACACATTTTAGTGGAAGGCTTTACTATTGGAACAAACTGCACAAGAGAACTGGTTGTTTCCTAGAAGCTTTTGCATAAAACCTGCCTGCCTTTGGAGAGCCTGTAATATAAAAATAGCATAATGCAAGAATAACTTGATTTTCTGTTCCTTGGGTGACACAGGAGATCTAACTAGATAGGTGTTCCTATACGACCTTAAAAATCAACAGAAAAAAGTGGGTGAAGGTTCAGCATAGTGTTATTTAAATTTATAGCATGTCAGGCCTGGTGGTGTATTGGTAACAAAGCCTGGGAAAGTTCAAATTACCTATCTCCATCATTTCAAAAGTCTTAGCTATTGAAAATTCATATCTTAAAGTAGTTCTATACAGCAGGACGGATATAAATTATTAATTAATGGTAACCTTTTATTTCTTACTGGCAGATCTGCAGTGGAAGTCTGGGCACATGGCAGAGAGCCTGACCAACATGCCTCGTCACTCGCTGTACATCATCATCGGGGCGCTGTGCGTGGCCTTCGTGCTGATGCTGATCATCCTGATCGTGGGCATCTGCCGCATCAGCCGCATCGAGTACCAGGGCTCCTCCAGGCCCGCCTACGAGGAGTTCTACAACTGCAGGAGCATCGACAGCGAGTTCAGCAGCGCCATCGCCTCCATCCGACACGCCAGGTTCGTGCTGGGGTGCTGATGTCCTGGCAGCTGCTCTCAGGTGCCAGCCAGTCCATGCACACTGCACACAAGGGCTGGTGGCAGAGGCAGCGGGCTGCTCTGCTGGGAAAGCACCAGCCCTGCTCACTGCTCCCACCTGAGGTCATGTGCTTGTGTTCACAGGGACGAGGGAAGAGACGAGAATCTGATACACTCCATGTTTCAGAAGGCTGATTTATTACTTTATGATATATATTATATTAAAAGAAAATTATATACTAAACTACACTAAAGAATAGAAGAAAGGATTTCATCAGAAGGCTAGGAAGGAATAGAAAGGAATGGAATAGAAATAAAATCTTGTGACTCACCAGAGAGTCTGAGACAGCTGGACTGTGATTGGCCATTAATTAAAAACAACCACATGAGGCAAATCAAAGATGCAGCTGTTGCATTCCACAGCAGCAACAGATAATTATTGTTTACATTTCATTTGAGGGCTCTCAGCTTCTCAGGAGAAAAAATCCTAAAAAAAGGATTTTTCATAAAATGTCTGTGACAAGGTGTGACAATACAGCAAAACTCCTCGAAAACAGAGTTATTCTGACTTTATTTGGAGTAACTGGTGAAGTGGGACAGATGCAGAGTTCTTAGCCTGTCAGATCTGTTAGGGATGTAAAGATTCTTTAACTGCTATGCACAAGTAATATGATCAGACAGGAAAGGCACATTGATTTTTGTGACTAATTTACCAGATTATTCAGTGAGAATCTCTTCACATCACTCATGTTTGTGCTCCTATTTGCCTTTCTTACTTGCTTTCCTAGAGACAGTAATTTTTTTACTTTGAAATTTAATGGAGCACTTGCAAGGCAGGGCATTGAGTGTCAGAATAATCCAAAAGCAGAAGTAGAAAGGATTTGAAAGCTCAAGTGTAAGCCATGGCACTAATATGGCATTAAATATACCTAGCTCCCTGCCAACAATTGTGTTTAAAAACTTCCAAAGGAGTTGAGTAGATTTAGAAAGGGCTTTACTAAAATTTAACCTGGATTTTCTTTGCTATTAACCTGGCTGCTTCTTTCTTACTGCTCTTCAGGCTGTCATGAAGGATAATTTACTGCTGTTCTTATCACTTGTATATCAGGTGCTGAGCCCTCCCCCCTTCTCTTATATGATAAAAAACAAACAAAGCAAAGCAACTTTTTTTCTTTCCTTGGTATAACTAGCCCATTCTTTCTGTATCCCCCCGCAGATCATGTCGCCTTTCCTATTGCCTTCCTAGGACACACTCCAGATTATATTTATTTTCTTTTTCTTTTTTGAAGGGGGGTCCCTAAAGCAGGAAGTAGTTCTCTGTCTGAAGATTCAGGTGCACCAAATAAACTGAGTAATCACAACCTGCATCTTATATATGGCATTCCTGTTCACACATCTGAAAAGGAAACTTGCGTGGTTTTTTGTTTTCTTTTCTTTTTTTTTTTTTTTTCCTGTTCACACATCTGAAAAGGAAACTTGCGTGGTTTTTTGTTTTCTTTTCTTTTTTTTTTTTTTTCATTTCTAGTGGCAAATGACATACTTTTGTGAGACCTTTTCCTCATCCCAAGATCCTCAGTGTCATTTTGCTTCCTAGCCAGTATGGTTTCTTCTGTGTTTGACATCTCTCTTAATAGGGTGGAACTTTGATTTTTGGTGTTTCTTTTTTCCCATTTCTTCAATTTATCAAGATCCCTTCAAATTCCAGCAGAGTATTCATGTGTGTTACCATTAAAATGCTCTTAAAACAACTGAGGGAGACATGTTCCTGTGCACTAACATGGAGAAATATGTGCATGTTGGTTGGTGATTGCTGGTAATTTATTTTCTGAGTGCTCCAGTTCTGTTCCAATGAAGATGAAATAGGTTAAATTGTACCACTGCTGAAGTCATCAAAATTAGCTGAAATGGGTGAGGCGTTCCCCCAGGCTCAGTTAATCACATCATAGCTTTGAGTAGTAGCTCTTCAAAGTGTTCCAACTTCAAAAAAGTTCTTAGACTGGGATGGATAAATGATGATTTTTCAAATCCATATTATGTAGTTAGAAATTACATTATTGTCCATTGAGAGTTTCCCTATCTTGGAAAAGGTATTTCTACTTAAAGCAAATGAAATGTTTTAATTCCAAATAATTTTCAGTGCCTCCAAGAATGTGATGCCTTATAAAAATCCAAGATGGAGCTGCCAAGTAGGGTAGTTCATGGAGGTTTATTGTGGAGATTGTAGTGTATATTTTGAGTTCAGAAAGATATAAACTACTGGTTTGGTCATTTCAATCCGGGAAAAGGAGCAAAACTTTTATAGTTATTTTTGCATAAATTCTTAAATCTACATATCTAAAGGTCTGAATTTTCAGAATTGCTGAATCTGAGAATTCTACTTTCAAATAACAGAAAGTTAAGAATTTTCTGAAAATAATTCCTTTTCACAGTTAGATACCGAAACTTGCGAGTAATTTTAGAAAATGGAGGCCAAGGGAAAAGGTAGTAGATTATTTTCTTTAAAGGGAAGGTTTCTGATAGTAGCAGGTATCTGGGGCTTGTGGATGCCTGTTGCATAGTCAGTAAATTATTTTTAAATTACTTGTTCGTCTTTTCTCAGCATTTTTTTCCTAGATAATTTTTAAAAATAATTTGATCTTTACTAATCAAGGTATTTGCTGTAAGACAAAACCAATGTGCTTGAGGATCATTACTAATAAATGTCTACTTCTAGGGAATGTTCCTAAGGTTAGCAGATCAGAACTAGGTAATTTTCTGAGCAGAAAAAGCACAGTTGTCTTTAGCATCCATTATAGCGACCGTAAAGAAAAAAAAAAAAACACCTTTTGCAGACAAAAAGAATCCTTTTATGTTAAAATTTATACATTCTAAACCTGGAAGAGAGCAGTGGAATGAAATAGTTGGCTAATAGGCTGCTGGCTATGGCAGTCATAAGATGTCATTGAAATGGAACCAAGATCTGCTATTGAAACAAAATGGTTCACTTTAGAAAAGCATTCACACTGAGTTCATGAATTATCTGGTGACAGACTATGCTGCAGTTAGTTCTGTGTGTGCCCAGATATCAGAAGCCTTCATGCACCACTTACAGTGTAGTTTATTTAATTTTTATTTTCACGTGCTGATCTGTCCTGTCTCTGTGTCAATTGAAGAGTCTGGTTCATCAGACTCTGATTAAGTTCTCTTGTCACAGCAGGATCAGCTTCTCTCCACTGCATATTCTCCCCATTCCTGTGGAGCTGCCTGTGTCCCACTGTGGTGTTCTAAGCTTTCTGAATTGGATGAGCATCAGCATGCACTCATTTCTTACTGGCACAGATCTCTGTCAGCTGCCTTTTTGTAGAAGTGTGATCACGTGCACATGTTCTCTGGTCTCCACATCATCTATCAATTGCTTAATATATATCCTCTGCCAGGGTTAATTTTCTGGGATTATAGCTCAATTTCTCTAAGCAAGGCACAATTCCACTTGCACATCTGACCTTTTGTCTGAATAATGCAGAGGAAATAAATCTTCTCATTCTCCTCCTGTGGAATCCAAAAGAATCCCTTCGTTCTTTCAATGTGCGTTATCCCTTCTTAAACTTCTGGTCTCTGTCTTTTACTGCTCTTGTTTAAATTTTATTTGTGGGCTCAGTTTGCCAGTTGCTGGTTTTGAGCAGAGTAGCAACATGTTGTTGGTTTCTTAATTCTGTTTCTGGGTAAACTCTGAACTTCTGCATGTCCCACAGAAGTCGGAAGTTTCCATTTCCTCAGGATTCAGCTGTCCAATGTTCTCAAAAATTTGAGTGAAGTTGGTGAGGTTAATAACTCTATAGTTAGCCATCTCTTGAAATGTTCTTCTGAGGAAGTGGAGGAGCTGGACCATTCCAAATGTGAAGCTGATTTGCAGTGTCTGTCACAGACACGGAGCTGCCTTTGCCAAGAATTCCTACAATGAATATGTGCTATCCTCAGAATTGTCATGGAACCCTCAGTTTTTCTCAAGCTACACAGGTCTCTCTTGTTCAATGCTTCACTGCAAAATATATTTTCTGATTGTTATTTTGTATACTTTGTGATTATCTTTGTGACGTGTAATATTGTTATATACTGGTAAGCATGTCTGATGTACACATTGGAATATCACCATCCTCACCCATGAATGGACATGGCAAAGCTAAATGAAGAACTTCCCCAGTGCTACTCCTACACTGTTAAGCAACCCAAACACATAATTGTTCACAGTATGGTATTGAAGCTAATGTAAAAATTATTATCCATTGTATCCCTCCAGTATTTTTCCACACTCAGTGCTTCCCAGGATCGAGATTTCCCCACACAGTCTATACTCTTTGTTAGAGGAATAATCTTGTGTTTGGTGGCCCTGGAAAGAATCTTTATTCACTTGTTTGTATATGCTTTTGTTGTAAGCAGGCAGTTAATTGATCCAGAACACTGTAGCAAGAACCTGCAGCTTTTCACTATTGATTAGTCCTTGAATCATTGCCTCCTGCAGATCGTATTGATAATTGCTTTGTGTGTTCCTTTATGCCATCAATTCCATAGCATAGCATCCTAGCACATACACACCCGTTGAACAGAGCTCCCATTTTACACTTCTGTCTTTAACATAAACCTCTGAGGTTGGTGATAGCTCTGTTTCTTTGCTGCTTTGGGCAGAGGCTGCTTCTGAACCACCTGATCAAAGCAATGTGGTTGAGCAGCTCCATGGCTCACCAGACCATAAACACAACTTGCACATGTGCTGGGCTTTTTCCTCAGCCTTCTCTAACTAGGGGCACATGTCAACCCTGACCTCAAGGAGAAAACAGATTTTGTCCTGCTTCCATGTATGCTACAAGCCATGTGCTCTCCACTGTCAGAAAGGGCAGGTAGACTGGCTGAAATCCCTGGAGAGTGTTCACCATCATTTGTACCTCTGCAGAGCTCTATATTTCCTTTAAACCCTTGAGAGTGATGGTGAAAATGGGTGATTCAGAATTCAGTGCTGCCTCTGCTTTAGTAAGATGCCATGAATTTATTCCTTCATTCAGTTCTTGAAATTTTATCTCATTTGTAGAAAATCAGGTTTATCCATCATGATGGAGATGAGCAAATGTCACCTGTCTGCATTTATTAAAATAGCCTATAGAAGAAGGCAGACATTCATGCATGGGAATGAATCTAGTGTAGCCTTATGGATAGCTGAAGTACTTTGAAAAATGAAATTTTCACCATATATCATAATGCTTCCAGCCAATTCAGTTTTCTCTGCAATTCTAAATAACTGAAAACAGGCAAGAATGAAATTGAAAATTATGAACCCTCATAAAAGTCTTGGGAAAAAATCAAGTTTATTTTGGTTTGGCCTAATTATTATCCTCAAAATCTGAATTTTCTGGATTTTACTTTCCAGAGTACAGAATGTAAATTAATGTATGCTTAATATAGTCAAAAGTGCATAAAAATCCTTAGTGTGGATGACTAAAAAAATAATTCTGTTTCTGTGATTTCTGTACTGTTTTCTCTGCATCATAATAATAATAAGAAGAAAAAAATAATTGACCATTTTTGCCTCATTTTCCTGTGATTCTTTTGTTATATAGAGTTTATCTAAGCTGTCTGACTTTGTTTCTGATCACAGGCCATAAATCACTACATTGTTGCTTTGAACTCATTCATGTTTCTGTTTGTCACCAAAAGTTTTCTTTTATTTCCAGGTTTGGCAAGAAATCCCGACCTGCAATGTATGATGCAACCCCCATTGCTTATGAAGATTACAGCCCAGATGACAAACCTTTGGTTACACTGATTAAGACAAAAGATTTGTAATCTAGTGTATCTTTTTTGGATTATTTTTCAAAAGGATGGGCTACTAACCTAATTTAAATATTTTTAAGAAGAAAGCATAAGTAATTTAAACCATTAGATGCTTCAGAATTTTCTGTAGAATATTTAAGAACCAATTTTCTGCAGCTTTTAGTTTGGAAAAATATTTTAAAACAGAATTTGTGAACTTCATGATTTACATTTTAATGTACCTTGAGCTCTATAAATTATAAGCTTATGATAGTGTGTGCTTTTTTTCTTGGTAGACACTATTACTAAACCCAGATGAGTTTCTTGTGGTTGTTACAGAACAGAAAACAATAATTAATGAGGAGTTCTTTATGAAATGTCAGTGCCAGCTTTCTCAGTAGAGGTAGGAAAAATGTGAAGCATAATATGATATATAATATATCCATTAATTAAAAAAGTCTAAAATGTTTGTGTTGTGAAAAAGAAACTAGTAAAAATTATTATTCCTAATCTGAATGAATTAGCTTTTGCCTTATTCCATGCATGGATAGATAACCTATTCCTCCATTATTTCCTGAAAGTTGCTAAAACATACTCTTGAGTTGATGTTTGACATTTTTGTAATAGTTATTCAGGCTAGGCCTTGTATAATAATTAAAGTGCCTCTTGAGGCAAAGTAAGGGCATGATCCTTTAAACATTGAAATCAATGAGAGAATTTCCATTGAATTCACTGGATATGGGATTGGATCCTACAATTGGACTGAATCTATATTTTTCTTTAAAGGTTAAAGTTTTTTTATATTGTGAGTAAACTAAGCATATGGTTTGAATTGTTTGTTTCCTAAAGGTTGTTGATGTACAGTATTGTTTCATGAAATATTGTGTATTTCTCATAGTGCTTCTTAATTAGGATCAGTATGGGGTTTTTGTGGCTGTATTTGATCGCTTCTGGGCGTCTTAAATTCTTGCTTATTTCAGAAAATACTGAATAAAAGTTAACCAGTGAAGATTGCAGCTGTTTCTTTGTTTTTCTTCATTTCAAACTGAAGTGTTGTCTATAAATTTGAAAGGACATGAGCATATGATGCACTATAAATAATGCTAAAATATGACATTCCAGCAGTTAATCTGAAAAGGGAAAAAGGGTTTTTATTATCAGTGTAATCTCTCAAAAGTGAGATAAATGCAGCTCCAGAATAAAGACAAAGTCCTGAATGGTGCATGTGCAGGTTAGTAACACCATTCTGTGTCTGAATTAAAGAAATGCCAAATGCTCCTCAGAAATCCAGAGTTACCTTTCCTGATGTCCTGTATCTGCTACCATGGGCTTTCAACAATGCTGGTCTGAGACAGTAATAATTAAAAAGACGACTGAGGAGCTCAGATCCAAGTTTAAATTAGATTAATTCTTCAGGCATGGTTTTCTATGACAGAAGTTGTAAATTTGCATCTGGTGGCTGTCAGAGGATGCTTTTTATAATTGGTACAGTTTTCTGCTGTACCAATATATTGAAACTTTTGTTTACCGTGACTTCTAGGAGCCTTTTGAGAACCCTAAAGAAAGAAAATTTGAGAGCAAGCTATACCCTGTACCATTTTTGGTAACTTGAGCAGAAAAGGGGCACTGTTGTAATTGATTTGTTAATCAAAGGAAAGGAAATACTCATTCTTCAGAATATTTGGCCTTTTCAGTCAGTAAAATATTGGCATGCAAATCTATATAAAGAAGGGAAACAAGCAACTCTGTTGTTTTAGGGAACATACATATTCATGGTCCATATTTTACAAGAGAGATGTTGCAATGAGCAGCGGCCTTTCTGCATACAAATCACACCTTGGCAGCAATTCTTGACCAACCTATATTTCTCTCAATTGACTGACCTGAAGGATAAGTAATTTGTGAGGAGCTATTTTCCTGTCAGCTTGAAGCCTCTAGCTGCTGTAAATCATCCTGTGCATCCTGTGAATTGTGTTCTGAAAATTACTTTGTCTCCTTCCAATTTATTTTATTGAACTCTGATGGCATGTTATGCATGCACTTGTGAGATATTTGTGAGGCACTGCACTGCCTGCCAGATGGAGCTGTCCTAAGACCTGAAGGGAACAGACCCATCTTGTGTTTGTCTCTCAGCTATGAATCTGCAAGAACAACTTGGTTACTGTCTTTGTATGCCAGACTGTGTCCTGAGAACATACATGAATGTGGGCAAGGGACACTGGTTCTTTCATATTCTTTTCCCCAACCATGTGAGGTTTGCTCTGTACAGGGAGCAAATACAGATGTATAGCAAATACCACTTGCTGTTAATATGCTACACTTTTTCTTTTTATCTTTCTTTTTTTTTTCTTTTCCCCCTGTAAAAAATCCATCCAAACTCAATGTTGCATCATCAAACAGTGAAAGTCTCAGTGTGGTTAATCCCTTTGAAAACAATTGGATTTTAAAGACAATGTGTGTGATGTTTTGGGGGAAAGTGACTTGGTGTTCCTAGACATCTAACCTGACCTAGACATCTAACCTGACCAATCTAAGATCTGACCATAGGAGTAAACATTGCTTGTTTTAGTGAAGTCTTGTATGGTGACGCTTCTGTCACGGAACTGATGTTTTCATCTTGTCTCAGCCTCATTTCTGGAAACAGCATGGCTTTTCTCCAGCAGGGCTTTGCTGAGAAATGTCTGAGCAGTTATGACATCCCTGAAGATGTGTAGTTTCTTCTTTGATAGCAATAGACACCTGATGAGGAATAAACTCAACACCTCTGAAAATTATTCTGTGTGAATGACTGAGAGGAATTGAAGAGCCACTCCTCACTTGTGTTGCCAGAGGGAACTTCTTTTCCCCTTCATGTGGCTAAATCCTTCTCTGTCCAAAATTTCTCAGAGATTCCCTTCTCATGTTGCACACAACCACCCAGCAGAGCAGACAGGCACATTGCATCAGACAGATGCACATCCAGCCTGTCCTCCCTTTGGGTGCCTCCAGCCTGGTTTCTGTGGGAGGCATTTGCTGTGTTACCAGCTTTGGGAAGCTTTTTTTCACTGCTGCCATGTTTTTGAGGTTCATGTGCTGCTCAGGGCAGCTGGGCTGGAATTGCTGTTTGTATGGTACCCTGCTCTTGTGTTCCTGACCTCACAGGGGGTGCAGAAGTACAGTCCCCCCATGGATCATGGAGGGCAGCTGAAAGCCAGATTAATTCAGAGAAGAGTTGAGTCTCTCATGCTATGCTCTGCTATGAATAGTTAAAATAATGAGTGTATTATCAAGAGCTAATGAGTTCAGACATGTTCTCAAAATAAAAAATGGGAGTCAGGGCAGTCCAGTGTGTGTGGTTAAACCTTCTCTTCCAACCTGCTGAGAGAGATATGCACTGGCTTACAACTTTGAGGCACCCTTTATTTTAAAACAAAATATGAACAAAATTCTTGTTTAAAATTTGTTTTCTCTCTCAGCATCCATTACCCTTAGGGAATGCTCTGCATGAGCAGGGGAGCAGTGAGAGAAGGGCAAAGCAGAGAGCTGGTGCCAAATGAGAGACATGGAGCTGATCTGCTCTATCTGCTCCCTGCAAGTTTGTCTTCTGTCCCTTGAGACTTTGCCTGAGAATTTGCCAAAACTCTGTAGTTGTGTGGGGTCAGGAGTGGTGGCATAAAGCAGATTTCAGACACTTTTATGTCCATCTTAAACATCTCATCGGGGAGATGAGAGCAGCCAGAGTCTGGCATCTGAGCAATCAGATGCTGCTGCTACCTGAGAATGCTGGAGGTTGCTGCCAAGACAGGCAGAGTGTGATGGGCTCAGCTCCTGCTCACTCTGATGTGCTGGTCACTGGAGAGGTGACCCTCAGAAATCATCTTTGCACTTCTTGACTCTCTGCTGTTTGCACCAGAGCTGATCCCTCTGGTGCAACTTCTGTGCTGCAGAATCCTCCCTGCAGGACCCAGCATCTGAACCCTTTCTATCCTTTCGCCCCCTCATGTTTTGGAACAGCTCCAAGTAGGTGAAGGTGATTCCTTCCCACAGGACATGGGTCAACCAGTGAAAACAAACAAAACTTCAAAGCAGCTATGCCACATCCAGCTTCATCTGGGCTCAGCTGGCTTCTTTTCTTCTGCAGTGCAAAATGGATAACAAATATGACCTCTCTGGAAAAGTCAGATTTCTCTGTTATTATGAATTCCACTTTCAAATCCTCCTTTTAAGACGTTTATGATAAGATGATTATTGTAAATAATCTTCCCCTTTAGCAAAGAATAAATCATCAAATAGGCTTTGTTTGGTGAGATCTTTGGCAAAGGAATGTAAATAAATAAGCTAACTGAATAAACTTCTTTATCTGATGTGCTGAGCAGAAAAGGCAGCAAAGTTAATCATTTAGGAAAATAAGCTGGACTGCTGTGCTTTCTTCAATAATAGACCAGTGTAAGGAAAACAATCTGCTCTATCTCGCTGAGCCGGGACTTTCTGCTGGCATCCCACAGACCATGAGAGATCCTGTTTGTCACTCTGGCAGCAGTGCTGTCTTGTCAAGGAGATGTCCTTTGGCCTAAATTTTTATTTGTTTCTTTTCCTGTGGACTGGTCTACTTCCTGTCAGAGGTAGCTCCTCACAACAGTTCAGCTGTGGCTTCTCTTCCATCTCCTGGGAGTAGAACACACACAGACAACAGGCTGGATCTGCAGGGTCTCTCTTTGGACTCCATTCATGTTTCCGTATGAGAAAGTTTGCATGTGACTCTGCATGGATCTCAGTCCAACACCCCTCAAGGAAATGAGTGTGACTGTTCCAATTTTCACCATTGTATTTTATTGACTTATGGATTTGAAGTAATCTGAAGTAAATCTGCCTGGAATCTGAGCCTATAAGCCAAATACAAGATGCACAAGGTAACAAAAATGCATGTAGCTTCTGTGGAAAAGCAAACAGCCTAATGCAATGGAGGTTATTTTGGCATGTAGGAGCTGCATTACTAATTAGTTTGCCAGCAGAATATTTTGTTCTTGTCCCCATTTGTAATTGTTGGGTATGTGATCACTGTTGGTACAATTTGGCCTCCTAGAAGCTTATTTTCTATATTGTATTGGGACAGAGAGAGCACAAATAACATGTTCCAGTTATGGTTCTTTCTCGCTGAGAACAGAGAGAAATATGATGGGTTACAGAGAGCAGAAAGCAGCACCAGCTTGCTGAAAAGGGTGTTGTAGATCCCAGTGTATGGCCTTGATATTTATTCTACAGCTCAGTCTGAGGTTGTTTGATTTGCTATGTTGCATCTGTCTTGTGAATAAGGCAACCAGCCAGTAACGTGTCATGATGCAGAATAATTTAATTCAAGGATTCTGTACCTAAAATTTGCTGCCCACAATGTCTTATTTGTGGACTGTACATGACACCAGTTCCTCCTATTAATTTAATTTGAACATTTATTTCAGTTGTTATGCCTTTGTATGGCATTTGCTAGAAGGGTCTGTCAAAACAAAGCTGACAGAATGTCGTGTAACTGAGAACAGATCTGCTTTCCCATGTGCCTATTATGCCATTTCACTTTCATCTTGCCATGAATTTGGACTTGAGGTTGTTCTACATATGAAAGATGATGACCAGCTATTTTTATCTCCAGTACTGACCACATTGCTCCCCTCTTTCCTGGTGCCCTGTGTTGCCTGTGTGCAATAAGGACAAAGACAGGAGGAGATTCTTAGAGGGCTGAATTAGGTGTGAAGTTTATCAGTTTTCCTCTGTCTTTTGTTCATTTCATTTCAATGGAGAGAATATTTTACAATTCCATGGAGATGCCTTAATCCCTGAGAGATTTGAAGGGTTATTTTTCTTTAATGCATGTGAGATTTAAAATGAGGTGGTAAGCTATCAGTATTGACAGACATGTCAGGTTTAAATCAAAATGTCTCACAGCTGTGATTTACTTAGTGATATATGTTGCTGAATTTTGGAAGATTTAATTTGGAATACATTATTCAATGGTTTAGATTATTGAATGGTAAATATGGTGATG